TTGGTAGAAAATGTAAAAAATGAAAGTAGGGTAATAGAGATATATTGTATAAAAGTGGAAAACAGTACTCAACAAGAATATTTAGAAGACAAAAATAACAAAATTAGGAATAGTATATTAAGAAAAACAAAATTTTTAGACAAAACCAAAATAAAACAAGATAGAAAATCATACTTTGTAAAAAAATCTTATTAATATTGATGAAAACAAGTGCTTTTAATTATAAAACAGTAATAGACAGTATCAAGAAAATAAACAATGCTGAAAATCTTCATTTCATTTTTCGTCTACAGTTAAATAACATCAATTCATTCAACAGCTGTTATGCATTTATATTGTAGAGTCGATTCGCTTAAAACGTCTTTCGTTTTCTGAATTATGAGACTCACAAAAAGCATGATTGCGACCTATTATAAGTCCATTGTAATATTTGTAATCGCGCGGCATATGAAATCACTCAGAATCGGTGTTCATAATGGAGTAGAGTACATACGCAGAGTTATAGTTCCCTATCTCTTAAAAGGATGACAGCTCAAGGAGATGAGATAATTTTAGTCAGCGCTGTATGATTCGTTAGTTATCGATATTTATTTATGCAAGCCACATAATTATATGGTTGGAACAAAGAAACTTGCTAGGTTCCAAAACCTTTTTCTTAGTGTCCATTTATTTATTTAATTCAAGAACAACATAAGTAAATCAATAACAATAGCTAACTTTCGTCTAGAGGAAAAAGAAAGGAAGATTCAACAAGAAAAACATCTTCCAATCATCAATCATAATTCTCCACGCTGCGCTGTGAACAAAGTTAAGAAAGAACAAGTGGAGAGGGGCTTAATGCATTATATGTCAACGTCTCTACTTCAATATTTCGAATATAATTTGTTACTTTGTTCCATATCGAATTCATTAATACAGGTGTAACAAGTATAATTGATACTACGTAGAGTGTCGAAATAACCGACAAAGCAATACTTCTTTCAATTAAAAATGATTTATTAACTGTTATATTGATGGATGGGTATGAAATTTGTTTAATAGTCTCTTCGTAAATGTTCGACCAAAGAGAGATGAAATGATGGAGCCGATCCACATTACAAAAATACCTAGAATACAAAAAATTCAATAAGACTATGTTTAGATTATGTTGCAGAAGACAAGATATAAAGCACAAACTACAGAGGATCATGTTTATATTATTTTGGTCAGACTGCTATAGGACAGATAATTGACAATAAGCACTCTAATACTAAGCATCGGTTAGGCACAATAAAAGCATTATGCGTGCTGTTACATTCAATAGGTATTATGAAAAGCAAAGTGGCAAATAACTGAAGACCTTCATCACTTACTATTAAAACAAATAATTATATTGTTTTTTTATAATGACTATTCGAATTTGGAGATTTGAACAAGCCTAATATTAAAAAAAAAACAGAAATTGAGATTAATTAACACAACAAAAATTTCAATCTTTTTGTAATGAACAAAATAAAAAAAGTAAAGCTTACCTCCGACCACCCTGAGCCAATCCAGCAATTCCCATCTATTCGACGATGATGATGGGGAGGAGGAGGAACGATTTCTATAATCTAAGGGATTAACGATACGTATAATGTCATAAGATCATTTTTTTTAATTTTCATACCATCAACATAGATCAACTGATAAACAACATTTTGATCCCATTCAAATTGAAAGTTTCCATCACTATCTCTTGGTATTCTAAAAAATAGAAAACATATTTCTAAAGATTTTCTCTTGATTTACTAATAACATACGAAACATATCCATTCAATTGTTCGTTTTTATATAATATTCCCGTTGCACCGGGAAATGTCCCAATAAAATAATCTTTTTGAATAATATTATCTTGTTTAAGAAACAGGTAAGTATCATGCTTTTTCTTACTATCATATATATGAACGTAAGTCATTTTCAGGATAATATGAAAATAAAACGAAGAGAACTCAAAGGTTATTAATATGTTCGCTGAGTAACAGAAAATGAATTGACTTGTAGTAGCTTTAGTTGAGCGACAACAAAATAAGACCAATCAAAGGTATAATAAATATATCTAAAAACAATTAATTAAACAAATAAAGATATAGAGACGAAAATGGCACCTTTATAGACGAATGACACTTTTTGATAAGTGATGTTTGTAATGACAAGTATACGTGGTTTTTCTATCCACTATACGAAATGAAAAACTCTTTTGTTGGCTTGGTTTTGGATTTTACTGTCTATGGTTACGCTCGGAAGTGCTTAGATAGTTATAAAATGAAATTTTAAGGTTAGAGTGTATACTGCTCTAAAACACACATGTAGCAATTTTGGCTGAATATAGACAAGATACTACTCAGTTTTCTATACCGTGAGAAGAAAACAATGAACAAAATGAAAGAGAAGAAAAGAAGAAAGGAAATAAAGAACAATAAAAAAAAAGAGAGGAAGTATAAATGCGTGAAGTGAAAAATTCATTTGTACACGCTAATTTATCTTCTGATTAGAAAACATGGACTGATTACTATTATCTCTCAAGCTTTGTCATCTGTTTTTAAGAATAATTTACTTATATGTACCATGTAGAAGAAAAGCACAG